TATATATATATCTATGTGACATATGCGAAATTGTAGTTTACCATCTGAATCATAAGTTATTTCAATAAGAAATAATATTTTTTTTTAATCTGTATTTTATAGAAATATAAGAAAATGTATAAAATAAACAACGAAGATCTCAATTTTTTAATATAAAATATCTACTTTATATATTCAAAATTGTTTACGTAAAGTTACATTGCGATCAAAATTTATAGATATAGATTTTCAAAAATTTATAGTTAATATTATATATACTTATAGATTTTTAATACTGGCAGTGTATATCAGAACATGATCACTATTTATTTAAATTTAAGTATTTGTACAATCTTTTTAAGATAAATAAGAGCAATAAATTACAATCTTATTTACAATCTTATATGTACAATCTTTTTATTTTTTTTTGACAATATTTTTTCACAATATGAGTCCACTCAATAGGTGATTTATTTTTAACAAATTAATGCAGTTTACTTCTGATTATAATAAAAACTAAAGATAATTGAGAATAAATTTGATTAGGTTATTGTTGTGCTTTTGTGAATGATTGTATTTGTAGATGATTGAGTGAAAGGTTTTTGTGATCAAATAACAGAAAGCCAGGTTTACATGCCCAACAATTGTCACAAACTTCACCACGCATAACTTTATTACTACAACTACTGTATTATCATTGTAATTTGTATTGATTTGATGGCTCGTTATACATTTTCAAATTATTCAGCACAGCCTAAAAGGTAACGAATTTTTTAATTTCTCTTAATCATGATTACAAATATTGATTTTACAAGCCCACACTTATACAATTTCAACAAATAGAGATATACTTGTACAGCTTCTTCGAGATTGTATCTTGGACTCTCAGAATCTTGATAGTTCTCACCACCGACCCCATGAAAGATATGGCTGGTGATCCCTTTCTCTCGAGCTCTATTCTCATCATTTCCAATAGTTTAGCTTCCTCGCTATTCTTAGAAAATTAAATAAACAAGCAAACAAACAAGTAGTTATGAGTGACTTATAGAAATTCAGAATTCGATATAATAGCAATTATACATACTTGTTGTGATTTTGATTCATAAAGAAGCATGCAACATTTCTGATAAGCTGCGATAGTTCATTATAATTTTCATAACAAGTCTGTCAATCATAGCAGATCTTGAATCTCTTAGGGTCTAATCTAAAAATAGGGTTCCTCTGGTAAGGATTGACGTCCGTCAGAATGAATGAAATTCAAGGGAGTCATGATGTTTTGTGGCTCAGTCACTTCACCTGCCTTGTCGATTAGAATGTGCGAGAAATGACCACGAGGAAAATTCATGTTGTGCAATATTCCCAACATGTTGCAAGTGCCGATAGTAATTCTATGGCGACCTAGTACAGACATGGTGCAGTTCATTTTCATTCTGTTTTTATGATAATAGAAACGATCACTTGTTCTTATGATGATAGAAACGATTATCCTTTCTCAGCTAATTCCGCACAGTAAGGTAACAGTTTCTCAGGTATAATATTATTTTCAAGCAATGTAAGCTATCAGTCGAACCTACGGCATA